TCCTAACTATGGATGTGACATAAAAATGCCTTAAAAAAAAAAGTAAATCAGCAGGCAGTTGTTAAAATTTTAACAATACAAACAACTCTTTTGTGACATAATAATGGGCATCAATAAAATAACACTGGAATGTTGATATTACACCTCTAGCGCTGTAATTGGTCTGATCTGTTTTAGACAAAAGGGAGCTTTACCAGACTGACTTCAGGCCCAGTAAGTCAGTCTGGCTGGGCAGGGTAAAAAAAACAACAAAAAACGATAGCATATTTTAGCAAATAAAACAACAAAAAAAGCATGATATTTCTAGCAGTATGCTTTCAATGATAAATGGCCTGTACTTAAATAGCACTTTTTCAAGTAAGAAGAGTTGACCAATGCACTTTACTTTACACTACATTCAGTCATTCACCCATTCACGCACACATTCACATGGTGATGGTGGCAAGCTACATTGTAGCCACAGATGCCTGGGGCTCACTGACAGAAGCGAGGCTGCCGTACACCGGTGGAACCAGGCCCTTTGACCACCATCGCTTTCCATAAATATGTTTTTATGGGATTAATATTAATTTTCACATTTAAAAACGTAATAAATACAAAATTAATCTGTCAAAAACTAAATGAATGTCGAACAGTTTCAATAAGAGTGGACTCTTCATACACTTTTTCTACAGAATTTTATATGAAGAAAAAATAACAAGCATATTAATTCATTTTTTTCAAACTTTGTTTGGTCTTCTAGGTAAGTATAGTTTTGTGAAACACAAACAGCAGTTAATATAAGAAAGGAGAAGCACAATAGTGCTCCTGTAAAGAACATTTAATAGCAGCTTGGAAAGCTTAGCAGACGTATATCCGATACCAGTTATGAAATTAATGCACCAACTAATATAATGTCAAACTGTTAATAAATAAGAAGAATAAGAATATATTTGCTTTCACACTGGGTGTTTTCAATTGTTTATAAACATGAAAAAGCAGTCATATTTAGTGTATTGTTAATACAAGAGCGTATTCTATTAGTTATTTGTTTATCCGATAATAGAATCATTTAAAACACTGAAGCACAAAAGCAGAGAGGCCTCCTATGTTCAGATTGATGTTATGGCTGCCCCGCAAGAAGCAAAAAAAGTATGACGTTTTGGATTTAATTATGTTGTCTGGGCCTGACATTTTATTCAACATTTTATCAGAATAAAAGTTTGAAATTTATAAATGGATTCAATTATTGGACTGAGTTGATTCTTTTAGGGAGGGTTTGGATTTGAAGAGTTGATTGTATAGTATAACAGCGGATTTTACTTTTTAATAAATAAAGGTGGTTGCAAATGTGTGTGTGTTCAGCAGGCTGAGATATTTGTGGTAGTGTTCATAAAGATAAGCTATAAAAGCCTAAAATAAAACAATAAAAAAATGAATATATTTTAATCACTTAAATCTGTTTTTTTGATAGTATGTTAATGAGAAATTATTCATCTTCTATTTTTATGAAACAAATACTGTTATTTCTTGTTTTTTCGCTGTTTGTTTCAATAAAAAAGATGAAAAAAAAAATTCCCAGGAAAATAGGGTCAATTAACACACAAAAAATAGAGTCAATCCAACATTGACTTAACACCACACTTTGAACTTCAACCTGACTTTGCATGATGGGAACCTCATATTCCTGCGCTTTAAAAAAACTCGAAAGAAGATTTTGTCATGATCTCCTTCTTAGGATTTTTTATTCTGTTTCAATTTTAACTTTGATTTAAGTCATTGTCTGTTTTCTAATTTATTAGTTTCATATCTATTTAGCTCCCTCAAAGCTTGTGACATCTGTAGCATTGTGCTTTGTGATAAAACTGTGCCTTTCAGTGTGGCCTCTTATTGTGGGCATTCTAAGGCACACCTGTGCACTAATCATGGTGTCTAATCAGCATCTTGATATGGCGCACCTGTCATGTGGACCGGATACTCTCAGCAAAGAGAAGTGCTCACTGTCATAGATGAAGACTGGTTTGTGAACAATATTTAAGGAAAATACTGATATTGTGTTTGTGGAAAAGGTTTTCTCATAAAAAAATAGAAGCAAAACCAAAAGTGTTTCTGTTTTTGTTGTTCTGTGTTTTTCTATCTGCTGAGTTTCTATCTGTTGTCCCCTTGTACTGACTCCTTTCCCCAAGCTCCCTTCTAGATACCTCTGTCCACACCTGCTCCAATCAGCTGATTACTCCATTCATTGTTCTGTGTAGCATATATACTCCTCCTCTGCAGTCACTGTTTCTGGATTCCCTTTAGCCTTCATTCTTATTTTTCTCTCTCCTGAGCGTCTCCTAGTTTTGATACCTGCTAAATTGTTTCTGCATGAATTTTATCCTTTTAAGAAATTTCCTTCCAAAGAACACTTACTTAAAATGTCTGCCTAAAAAGATTTAGCTATTCATTTGTTCTCTGCTGTCTTCCAGGTAAAATTATTGAATGGGGTATGATGTCCCATTTGTAGAGTACACTAAATATTTAATAAGGTTAAAACACAATTTTGGTTTAACATATTAATGCCCCTGCTATAAATCAGTATATTCCACCACACACAATAAGTAGACATGAAGACTGCATTTTAATTAAACTTTTCCTATTGATATAAACTGACTAATCAGTCCAGTTGCTGATTCATGTTCGTATAACGAATCTTAAGCTAACAACTTCTATGTCTTCAATATTCACTACATTGTTGATTAAATTAATTTATTTTCGGCTGCTGTATATGTTGGCTTCTTGAAGGCGTTAATTTTCTGCTGCTGTATGTGTTGATTTCAGAATCCCACCACCCCCATGTTTTTAAAAACTCTACCTTAAATTACTCATGACTTGATGGAGTACAATTTTCAACCTCTAATCAAAACAAGTCGATACCACTAATTTTTATTTGCCTCTAATTTACTCAAATTGCTGCAGGTCAAATGTGACCTGCTAGTTCTGTAATTAAGTTTCTAATAATAGGAATGCCTTTCACCACAATGCACTGACAATGAACATGAAGTAAAACTCTGTTTTATCTTAACTCTTCTATGATAATGAGTCGTCTCAGGATATAAAGTACATTTTACAATTGATAACAGCAGGAGAAATGCACAGTCAGTGTAAAAAGATAAAAAAGAATAATCTCTGATTATGAAATTAGTTTATTCTCTCCTCTAGTGCACAAAAAGACTCAACACAGATTCCACTAGTCTGTCGTTATAACATGTATTTTAAGAACTTATCATTCCAGTTAATAATTGTTTTAACAATGAACACAATTTAAACTTAAAAAATAACACCCTAAATACTCTTGATATTTACAAATCCATAAAATATTTTTAATCCTATTACCAAATTGTCTGGTTGATCACATATTATCACTAAATCGGATCTTGGAATGAGTTAGCAAACACCATGATAAATCCTTTGTTCTACTTTGGCAATTCAGAGATGTACAGTAATAGCAGCAGGCTGACTGAAACTTTGCTCACCAAATCAATACTTCAAGCAATCGTGGTCAAAATACAAAATTATGTTCTAAAGTGTTGGTATGAAAGGGACTGCAGCTTCTCTGACCTTGTATCCCTCTGAGGGTTATCTAGGATATTCATAGTAGGTCAACATATCACCTCCAGTTTACTGAGCGACATACAGAATATAAAAATACGTTTTCACCCTATTTTTATTTTTTTTTTAAAGTTATTTTCACATCCAAAAATTAAGCTAATCACTATATAGATGAAAGCCAATTTAGTGAGCCATCTGAAACAACTCCAACTATGCGCTTTCAAAGTAATTTAGTGGATTAAACTATTTTTAATCCATCTCCCTATTTGAACATGAAGTTTGCTATCTTATTTTAATTTCTCAACTAATCCAAGGGATTATTGCTGTAAATTGTCAGGAGCCTTTTAGTTCTCTTTGCTTAATAAACAAGATTAAGGTAGAGAACTGGGGAGAGTTTGAATGTTTATGTATACGTGTCACAGAGAACAGCAGAGCGATTTATTACAAAGACCACACTTGGTCACTTGGCCATTGTTCCCCTGACAAACTTCCCCACATACAAACATATTAGGTTTTCACTGAATATTACAGTCTCTCATCTATTTTCAAAGGAAATTCAAACAATACATTCCCAACAGTGCTGGCTTCGTAAAAAAAAGGTAGAACATTGTTTATAAGTATTAGTTTTAAAATAAAAGAGGATGTGCCAGAAAAGCCATGGTGGGGTACAACTCTTCCAAAGAAAGAATGTCAGTTTGAACTAAATAGAAAAGTTATTATAGTTTGAGGTTGATTTTTTTTCCAGAATTTGTTGTTATTTATATTTTTTTTTCTGTCAAGTCTCCTGAAAAAAATTTAAATATGCAACATCTCTACATAATCTCTGTTTTTTTCCTCCCTCTTATCTTTATAGATAGATAGATAGATAGATTATGGATGGAATATCCTCAACATCTGCAAGTTTTACAGCACAAGTTGTTAGTCTGAATGACAATACATATATATCACAGTGTGCTATTTCCAACAAGCACCTGCTTCTGTTGCTGTTAGTGGACCCACAATTTGTTAAGTCTGCCACAGCTGGTCGAGGCACAGAGAAAACCAGCTTTGGTTTTATCTATGAAAAAAGGCTGAGTGGGAAAAAAAATACAGAAATGCAGTTGGTTTGCCCCTTAGGGGAGAAAAAAATGGGTAAGTTGCTGCCCTGATTCCATCACCAACCCTGGACCTCAGGCTGACAGTCAATCAGGTAAAACACAGCTCTACTCAGATAGCTGAAAAACTAAACTGTGCTTGGAAATTTGACTTCAACTATTGCTGATGTGGTGGTGACTGAGCTTGCAAACTAACATCTCAAACATACCTGCATGCACATTGAGCATTTTATTCACATTCACTCAGTAATATACAGTGCAAACAGTGCAGCATTATACATTTATAAGCATCCAATATTTCTTCAAACATAAAAAGGAGAAGAGGACATACGTTACCTCAGTGAGCGAAGAGAGATGTGGTTCCTGGGTTAGAGTCAAAGATTATTTTGCCGGTGCCATCTGTCAAGCAGGTTGGCTCCAAAGGCTGTAAAAGCAAGTGTCCCTCTACCCCCCCTCTATTCACCCCCTCAGTTTCAAAACAAAGTCCCGTCTTCAGAGCACGGAGCCACGTTTGACAAGAAGGGAAACCCTATTCAAGCCTTGAAGCCAAACTGCAAGAGGCTTAAATCCCCAAGGAGAAAAATGAAAGATGCACCTCTTTCTCCTACTTGCTCCTGTTCTATTCGCCGCGGCACAAAGATCTGTGTCCGTGTGTTTCTTCTGTCTCCTGCTTTTTTTCTCCTTCCCTCTCCCCTTTCTGATCCCACTCTACTCACACATTCCGCTCTCTCGCTTATTCTGGCAGAGCACACTTCACCCACTGAGGCTAGCACAGGCACACAAACCCTGTCCTGTGCAGACAAACATATGCAAATATCACAGAAAAATAAACACATTCACACTCACACATTTTAGCTCCCACAATACACACAGTGTTTGTGGTACAGGGGTTTGCTTCCACCCACAGTTGTCGTCACATAAAACAAATTTATCTCAGCTTTGGATGTGTTTCATCATCAACTTGATCTAGAAAAAAAAAATGAACTAGATGTGCCTAAGGCTAAAAGAAACACAATTTTTTTTTTTGTAGTTAAGAGACTCCCAAACGTTCAGTCAGAGGAGTTGTGTGTGAATGCACCTCCACAGATCTAAGGAAATCACGGATGTGATGTAACAACCAATGTCATGACAGACTTGAAAGATTGTGTTGATTTTGGAACAAATCCTATTTTCTTAAGATTACCTAATACTAAATATATAGCATATGTGTGTGTGTGTGTGTGTATGTGTGGACATTTAAGAGTACAGTGTAAAGCTACACTAAGCCTAACTGCACTCTCTCTAAAGATGTTCTATTTTCAGCCTCCCGTCGTCATAATACACACCAGAAGAAAGAGGATAGCTAGGCACTATTATGAAAATCTCCCCTAAATCTGCCCCCTCCTCGTTACACCATTGCTGCATCCACCTTCTTATCTTCCTCCCTCCATACCGAAAGCCTCCACACATAAGGGAGAGCAGCAGGGGGGACGCCGTTGTCTGAGAGATATAAATAGTCTGCAAGTGACCTGATTCATTGATGGTTAGAGCAGCTAATGGCAGGTAGTTATATAGAAAGTAATGACAGTGGAGTTAACATCAAAAAATTGTCTGTCAGGAAATTGCTAAACACATACACTAAAGTTGTTTTCTTCTTGAAATGATTAACTGTTGTTTTCCTTTGGGGATTTCTAGGTTTCCTCATGCCAAAAATAAGCTATTTCTTCTATAATGGGGCTGCTGGATTGGACTATTATTACACACCTAATTTAGCCTGCCAACTTTCCCCCTAACAGGGTCTCTTATATGGGATGCCTCTTTGAAAATTTGAAAGGTTCAGATGTATCGATAATGAGGTGATGTGGGCTTGGTCCCACGCAAAATTTATGGCAGGCAATCTGTTAGAGGTAGTTGCTCTGTGGTAACACCCCACTGTAGGATATGCCTTAATAATATGAATATATATATAAATATATATATATATATATATATATATATATATATATATATATATATTTATTTAACAATTCCATCCATCCATTTCCCGTCACACTTTTCCCTAACTTTAGTCAGGTCAAACTTCTGCAAAAATAAACTTTCCACTTAGGAGGCAACACTGATTGACAATCACTTTGACAGCTTGTTTTGAAGTGGAATAGGCAATGGAAATGATTGGCAATTTCAAGACACACTCAACAAAAGAGTGTGTCTTGCTAATGCAAGCTGTAGCAAGAAAGTTTACTGTATCTGTCAGCGTAATGTCAATAGGGTATAGGCACTACCAGGAGACAGGCCAGTACACCAGGAGATGTTGAGGAGGCCATAGGAGGGCAGCAACCCAGCAGGAGGACCTATACCTCTGCCTTTGTGTAAGGAGGAACAGGAGGAGCACTGCCCGAGGCCTGCAAAACAAGCTCCAGCAGGCCACAAATGTGTATGTGCCTGCACAAACTGTTAGAAAGCAACTCTATGAGGGTGGTATGAGGGCTTGACATCTACAGATGGGGGTTGTGCTAACAGCCCAACACCGTGCAGGACGCTTGGCATTTGCCAGAGAGCACCAAGCTATGGACTGCCCGTTCCCTGGACCATCTGATTGAGCACAACGTCTCGATGCGTCCACCAATGTTACTAGTGGCTTGTTGTTCTGACAGTAGGCGAACAGGTATGAGAGAATGGAAGAGACATGCAGCAAAGGACAAAAAGCCGGATTCACTCCTTAGTCGGCCTCGTCGAGGAAGTCCAACGCACATGGGTCGTGCGCACTAACCACTGCACCACTGCACCACCTGCACCTCCTCATCCCCCAATGTCAAGTTACACCACATACAATCCAAGGGTTGACAGACGCTCTAGACCAGGTCTGGGGGGAGATCCCTCCGGAGACCATCTGCCACCTCATCAGGAGCATGCCCAAGGTTTGTAGGGAGGTCATACGGGGACATGGAGGCCATACACAATACTGAGCCTCATTTTAACCTGTTTTAAGGACATTAAATAAAAGTTAGATCCTCCTGCAGTGTGTTGTGTGTGAATCCAAATCCAGGCCTCCATTGTTTAATAAATTATTTTCAATGACAATTTGTGTATATACGTATACATACATGTATGTATATATGTGTCCCATGTGTCTAATTCATTTAATTGTTATTATGATTAAAAATTAAAACCAAACAACCTAATTGGCTGATTACACACCAAGATTTTCACTCTTATACTACAGCAATTGAAATATGCTGACTTAGTTTTTTTTTTTTTAAAACACTCGTGTTTGAAATGGAAAAAGCTTATAGCAGTGTCTGTTTTGTAAAATGGGTATTTTTAAGGGCTTTTTAAAAGCGTTTTTCCAATTAATTTATCACATTATTGATAACTTTCAACAATGGTCTAAAGAATCAGATTCTTAACATACAATATCAGTCATGTGTTCTATGATTATCCTGTTTGAAGCATGACACCAAATGAAGCATATTGTGTGCTAAAAAATGTGTTCTTGTCCAATACTTACAGCAAGCTTAAAGCATGAATGGGAACCCAAGGTGGAATTAGTTTTGGGGGAGGCAATATAATCTTCTAACTTGAGCTGCATTCATGTGCAGATTTACTTCTTCGGCTTCATTAAAAATGGATTTGGACCAAAGTTAATAATGTGTCCTTAATCAGAGGATCATTGTGTCGATGTGGATAAAGCAATGTAACAAACTAGCACTAAATGGAATCCAGAGACAAATTAAAAAAACTCCAGTTTTTTTAATTTGTTGTTACACTTGAAGTTTTACTAATTGTGGTTTATCACTACTAAAAAGATTAACTACAATATTCTCTGACTTTGAAAAGAATAACAGAAATCACGTAAAATGGTTTTTTGTTGACTAAAAAAGGAGATACCGAAAGGAGTTAAATATTTAAAGAGATGGAAAAACAAATTATAATGCACTAGACTATTTTGGCTTTTAAACTTTTTTTTCTTCAAAGATCTATTAAGCATTCCTTATATTAAGGCCAAATAGTTTAATGCATATTGGCTGCATGTGAGGTGGGATTTACAGGTAGTTTCCAGCCTTTTCTCTAATCCACACTTGACCACCAAGTATAATTTATTCTTTTGGATACAGATTTTTTCCAGCAGGACTCAAAAGCCTTGGCATGATACCACAAGAAAAAAGCTTTTTAAATTACCACACCAGACTTAATGAGCATTATCTGTATTTTCATGATCAATGCTCAATCTGTTTTTCATTTTCAGACCCATATCAAAAAAGGTCCTTGGGTCTTTCATGCTAGGATTAAAGATAACTTCTATAAGTTTGATTTTAGCTTCATGTACTGCATTTCACCAACGAATCTCCTTGTTATTTGATATTATCCGGTCCCATTTTCATGTCATAAAAATAAAAATGTACCAAGAAGCTGTTCCATTTTAAGATGGATGAATATAATTCATGCTTTTTCTGTTAAAATTTTAAAAAGAAAAAGTTTTTTTTTGAAACACAGTTTTAAGTTCTTGCATAAGTTGACAAGTGGAGAAAAGGCAGCTGGTCCCCGGTTTAGTTTTCTTACTGCTTATTTGACTATCAGGTTGATTTGATAACTGCCACATTTTTATCCCTGTCACCCATACCTCTGTGGGCAAAATGCGATAAAGTGGTTCACATTATTTGATATTTAGATTGGATTTACCATTACAGAATTCTAAACTGACCAGAAACTATTTTAGACCAAAGTGGGAAACTGAAAATCTTTATTCTAGTTATAAAAGAGAGGAAACAGAAAATAAAATCCTTTCCTGGGTATAGTACTATCTTAGATTAAGACAGATACGAAACAACAAATGTAAGGACAACCATAAACTGAACTTAGACTTGGACAAACGTTATTGTCATTAACCTTTCTGTCACTACCAATTAATTGGATTGTTTTGCCATTCAATGGTCTTGGGGTTTGTTTTCAACATTTTTTTGTTTATTGTGTTCATCAGTTCTTTCATTATTAAGTTCAGTTAATAATGAAGGAATTTTTTACTTTAGAAAAGTCTTGATAAATAAGTTTGTATGTTTAGTTTTTTATGGCCCTTGTGTCATTACCATAACCCGGATAATTTAGAATTTTCACAGACATGTTTCCTAAGTTGTTTTTTGGTTGTTGTTGATTTTTTTTTCTGTGTATTTTAGGTGATATTTCTATTTCAGCTCTGTTAAAGTCTTGCTGAGGTTAGATAGCTTCTATGTGGTCGTGTTTAGGTTCTCTGTTTCCCTCTATTCATTATCATTCACTACAATGAGGCTCATTCAGTCCACCTCTGTCTGTCAGTTAGTCTGTTGCTACTGGCCTGTTTTACCGGCTATTTGGGTTCCTGTTTCCTCTTTGTTCTCCCCTGGATTCTTCCTTTCTCATAATGTCCCATGTCTGTTGCCATGCCTGTTATCCCCCTGTGACTTGCAGTAATATTTTCACTTTTTATTTTTTAATCAAACCTTTTTCAGACAAAAAAAATGTCAGATTCTTATCGAATAACAGACAGGCAAGGCTGTTTTTGTCACTACCTCATTTACCCTTTGACCGAGGGGAACTAAATTGTTTAAATTGAATGCTTTTGGACTGAGTCAATAAAATTAGAGAAGGAAAAAAATAGATTAGAGAATAAACCATGTGTGAAAAATATATATGTGTTCTTTACTGGAACAAATAATGATCTAAAAACAGCTTAAGG